CACGACCTTCGTCGGGCCGCCGCGACGTCGATTTTGTTTTTGACCTTTCTCCCTCATCCGGACTCCAAATCAAGTGAGTTTTTTATTTTTTTATTTTTTATTTTAAATTGATTAATTTTTCATTGTCTTCCCAGTGGTGTGCTCGATAGCACTTGAATCCATTTTTTTATAAAATGACCATTTTGCCCCTAGGTTCCTTCTTGTCCGTTTTTGAAACGACTCTTCCGCATTGGTTTTCCTTTGGGTTCCATGACCTCATTGAGGGTCACATTGATGTCTTAGAGACGCATTGTATCTCTAGAGACCGTTGTTTCACCTTTCGCTTCCGCATTTCGGATTCGTTATCGGGTCATCTTTTGGTCATCATTAACGCACCGGGTTTACAAAACTTGGGCCGTCACAGCTGGATCATCTGCTGCTGCTGCTGTTGCCTCTACCTCCTCCATCTCTGCCTCCTCGGCTGCCAAGATGGCCCTATCCTTTAGACTCTTAATAAGAGCATTGTAGCTCTTATTCCAGTCCTTCTTGCCATAGTGGCTAGCCCTTGTCTCAAAATGCTCCTCTGAATGAAAGGGATAGTGCTAGTCCCTGAGGATCTAAGTAATTAAATGTGCGAAGGAAGGGAACTTGCCCCTCTTGGGCTTACTCTTGTTGATGTAATCTGTATAGAGCTTTATCATAACACTCCAATAGAGTGTAGGAATAGCGAACCAGTGGCCTATGTAGAATGCATATAAGGCTGTAAGAAAATCTGATCGCCTTTGAATTTTATGCCCTGCAATAAAGACATTTCAGAATAACACCGAATCAAAGAACCATAGGTGGTTGGGCAAGTGAGTCCTGGTGGCGAATGTCTCACCGGCACTAGCAGGGCCATTCAGAGTTGTGGCCATGTCTGCATCAGATGGCCTCCAAAGAATAGGATAATCAACGCCGGGAGGGTAAACGTGTGGAAACTAAGAAGTTGTGGCCAATGTCTCAACTGTAATCCGGATGGGATGGCCATCAATGGTGGTCTGCAACTCTGCCAGGTTACTCGGGGCTAGCCGAAAGTTCTGGTAGAATAACCAGACGAGCCGCAGGTAAATTGGATTGGCCACCGGGGCCAAGATAGGAAAGATGTTGCGTCGGTAAATCTCATCGTAGGCTGCCTTGGTCAGAATCGATCGGGAGAAGAAATGTCTCATAAAAAATAGGCTTATGCGCCACTGAAAGGCGTGAATATCTGTGCTCAACTCTGTCGCGGACTGTACCGAGCGGTGTTGGTGGTGCAATAGGTGATGGGGGTAATGCTTGTTCGGCCCCCTCTGCCGATGAAGAAGATGAGGATGCGGATGCAGAAGAGGAGGAACGCTCAGACTGAGCGGGAGCTAGCTCCTTAGGCTTCTCTACCTGCTGCCGCACTCTGCGCTCATATATTTGGCGGGCAGTGGTTTTGACTCGAGCCATGGTCTGCAAAACAGAAAAACACTTGTAATTGTAGTCAGTACAGGAAACAGTACGTATATGAGATATAGAATTGAAAGCACACAAATAAAAACATGTTTGTCAAGTCAAGATAGATAACTCCGAATAAATGATATGAATCTATGCAAGTGATAATGCAGCTAAGTATAGACAGTGACCATTCTAATAAAGTAAAACATGCTAGATATGACAGAGCAGAATGCAACCAATGTGGAAAACATAGGCATTGGGCATAAATGAGATACCATGGAACGTAAAAGAGGGTATATGAGCTGTATATGCAAAGTAGTGAAGTTTAATCGATCATAAAAAATATGGGATCGATCTAAGTTGTATCGATCGTGCTCTGATTGATCAGAGCACTAGTGTGATCGACCAAACATGTGGACAAACATGAACAGTCACGGATCTGTGACGTGGACACTAAAACTTACCAAAACAAGGGAGAGAAGCGGTCCGAGGGAGAAAGAAAAAAGCAGGATCGAGAAATGGAGTTTTGAAGCTTTGGAGATGTCGCCGGAAGTTTGCCGGAGGTATGGAAGACGATGGAACAGCGGTGGGAGAGAAGGAGGGTCTTAGATCGATGTTGAAATCGATCTAAGTGACCCTTGGGTTATATTTTTAAAAACTGTCACTGACCTGTTCGATCGATCACTTAGGTGATCAGATTGATCGAACCCAGATCGATCGTGAAGGTGATCAGATCGATCGAACCCATATAACGACAAAATATTTTTGAAAATTTTTGAATTTTTTTTTTTTTGAAAATTAAAATTTTTTTTGGATTTTTGAAAAATATTTTGGAAAATTTTATTATTATTATTATTTTTTTAGAAATATTTTTTTGAAAAATTTGAAATTTGAAATTCAAAAATAAAAAAGAAGTCAAAGTCAAATGAAAGCACACATATCGATTGAACATAGATCGATCGGAACTCGATCGATCGAACAGGTGAAAACCTGCAGACATGTTCGAACGATACATAGAGAGGTGATTTTTTTGAGTTTCAAAAAATTTTCTAAGTATGGAACACAGATTGATCTGGAGGAATGTTTGATTGATCAAGGAAGACTCAGATCGATTAGGAATAAAATTCGCACGATACACAGAGTGATGAAATATGTAGAGATTTTCGCACGATGGGACAGGAAGATGGGAATATGCAGGGATGATTGTTCGATTGATCGAACTTCTTCTCAGATCAATCGAATAGACATAAAAAGTCTAATTTGAAAATGAAAACCTATGCATTCCCGATCAAAGTCTCAAGTAATGTGTATAGTTCCAGAATATATCTAGACGACATAAGAAATGAAAGGTAAAATAGAAATGAGGGAGGAATATGGTTAAAAATCTTACAAATCACTAGTGTTTAACATCTCTAGAAAGACGTTGGGCTCTTTTAGCCCGGATTAAAAATCTTGTTGTGTATCCCCTCCTTAGCGGGTGAAAAACACTTTGAACCCTACCCAACAAATTGTTCCCTAAAGAGCTTGTTGGATTTGATTGAAAGGAGATTGATGGTCCTTTGTCAATGCAACTCTTGGGCTACCCTGCCCTTTCAACACTTGGTTTGAAAATATTTTTCTTCAAAGTCATCTTAGAAAGCAAACCATGGGAATGTTCAATATCAATCAAAGACTCAAATTTTTCACATTCATTTTCAATGCATTTTTCAATAACACAAACTTCTTCATGTTTGTCCAAAGAATTAGGGGTTGGATTAAATATGTTTAACTTCACCTTCATATGCCCAAATGAAATTTTCATTATCCCCGTCCTACAGTTTATGTTGGCATTAGAGGTTGCCAAGAAAGGACCGCTAAGGGTAACCAGAATTTGGCTCTTGGGATTTACGACCGGTTCTGTGTTTATGACTACTAAATCAACCGGGAAGAAGAATTTATCAATTTTAATCAACATATCCTCAATTATACCCTAGGGTTTTTTGATGGATCTGTCGGCTAGTTGCAAAACCACTGACGTAGGTTTTAAATCTCTTAAGCCTAATTGAACATACACCGAGTATGGAAGAAGGTTCACACTTGCTCCTAAATCAAGAAGAGCCCAGTTAATGACATGGTCACCAATGATGCAGAAAGTAGTAAGTGAGCCGGGGTCTTTGAATTTTGAGAGAGTGTTATGTTACAATATTGAGCTCACTTGCTTGGTCAAGATAACTTTCTTTGGTGCGTGGCTCTTATTTTTCATCTTTTGGGTGCAAAGATCTTTTAAGAATTTGGCGTACGCCGGAATTTGTCTAACTAAGAGAAGAAGATTAATCTTCACTTGCCTAAACACTTCAATGATTTCATTCACTTTACCTTGTTATTTTTCAATAGAATTGGATCCTTTTAAGGCATTCAAAAATGGACCTTTTAGCTCATTAACCTTTTCAAAATCCTTTTTGGAATTACTTTCAACACAAGAATTTTTTAAATCATTTTTCAAAACTTTGTCAACAAAAGGTTCATGCACATGCAATGAATGAGGAATAGAATGTGAGACAGGACGGGTGTCAACTTTTGGTTGCACCGGTTCACTCTCTTCATTTTGAATACCAACTTGATTTTCAACAATTTTTCCACTTCTCAAGGTCATCACCGTATTGACATGCTCAATCATGTGACTTTCCGATGAGGAATTGGTCTCCACAACAAATTGTTGCTTGGGAGGTGGATTTAAAGGCATCTTCCCCTTTTCCCTAGCATTTAGAGTGCTAACTATTTGCCCAACTTGGGTTTCTAGATTTGCAATGGATTGAGAGTGGGAATGAAGTAATTGGGTGTTTGCCTCCAACGTACCCAAGCAGTTAACACTTTTTCCTCAAAAACGGGACTCCTAGAGTTTCCTTGAGAATAAGATGATTGATTAGGAAAATGAGAGTTAGAAAATTGGTTTCCATGTGAAAATTGAAAAGATAATCTATAACCTTGGGAACCTTATCTTTGCATTGGGGGCGGAACATACTTGCCTTGAAAACCACCTTGGGGAGGGTTTGAGCCTTCCTCTTGGCTTTTCCAAGAGTATTTGGATGGTTCCTCCACCCGGGATTGTAATGTGTGCCATAGGGATTATTCCCTTGGTTGACAAATGTGGCATTCACTTGTTTATGGTTCTCATTTTGTACATGTCCATAGGTTCAATTGGAAGTAGAATGTAAGACACTAGAACAAGTCATGCATGATTCATTGGAATTGTGATGATGATGATTAGGGGAGGAAGACACTTAATTCACCGAATTTTGGTTGATCAAAAATTAATTAAACCTTTAAGATAAGGACTTGACTTCAGCGGCTATGTCATTGGAATTGTCAACTTGATATAAGTCGACATTCTTCCTTCCACCTAGATTTCTACCATTTTTGGAAGATAAGGATCGATGCATTGAACTCTCACTCATGCTCTCATATAATCACGAAACATCATCCTCATACCTATTAAGATATGAGCCTCCCATGGAGCATCTACCATTCCTTTAAAATTATCTGACAAACTTTCAAAGAAAAATTGCACTAATTGCCATTTAGGAATGTCATGATGTGGACACTTCCTAAGCAAGTCATTAAGGCGCTCCCATGCCTCGTAAAACTATTTCCCTTCCCCTTAAGAAAATTCTGTAATTGAAGTTCTCATTATATTGGTCTTTGAAACCGGATAATATTTTTTCAAGAATTGTTGTTGCATTTCTGCCCAAGAAGTTATCGAAAAAGGTCTAAGATTATTGAACCAATATTTTGCCTTATCTTTAAGGGTGAAAAGAAAAAGTTTTAACCTCAAAACCTCTTCTGGCATGTCCGTGTATTTCACGGTGGAACACACTTCAAGAAACTCATCCAAATGCTTGTAAGGTTCTTTACTTGGAAGTCCATGATAGTTGGGAGGCATTTTAATAGTTTGTCATTTAATTTTATAGTGATGTGCTCTATATGGGGGCAATTGAATTCATGTAGGTGCATTATATTCATTTGGCACATAATGGTCACATAAAGCAATTGGATGATTCACAACCGGTGGTGCTACATAAGCACCTTGATTAACTTGAGCAACGGGAGGTTGTGGAGTAAAAATTGGCTGAGACATTCCCAATGGAACTTGGCCTTATTGTTGTGGTGGGATGAAAGGCCTTGGCATGGCTAATGGTACTTGAATGTTGTCATGATGCACATTAGGGTGGAGGATACCTTGTTAGTCTATGTGACCAAGGTCCTCCACACGGTCCTCATTGATGTCTTCATTGATGAAATGGAATGACTAGAATTACCTCTTCCCTTAGAATTACGATCAATGGATTCTAGATTCAAATTAAGTGGGACAAGAGTAGGATTTAACGATCTACGACCATGCATACACAAACACAACAACTAGAAACAAGCAATTAGCAAACACTTCACCTCCACAACAAATCAACAATCAACAATCCTCCACATACGATGATCCCATACTCCCATGCTTTGAACAATATGCACGGAAAATTAAATTGCCTCTACGCGGGCTCACAATCTATCTAGAAAATAAAGACTTGCCTCTATGTGGGCTCACGATTTAACTACAGAGAGTTTAGAAAACTTACAAAGGGTCCTTAAGTCACTTTAAATTAATTTCAATTTTTGCTTTGCTTTGCTTTGCAATTTTTTTAGATTTCAGCTTTTTATACTTAGCTTAGCTTGGCTCTTTGCTTTTGCAATTCCCCTTTGCTTCACTTCCCTTGGCTTAATTCACCTAGCCAATCAAGAACAAACACAATAAGTAACCAAAGTAAAATAAAATAAAGACACGATCAAAAATGTACTAATTTCTAATTGATTTTGAAAATATGACGGTGCCAAAGTCCCCGGCAACGGCGCCAAAACTTGGTGTGGTCAGGACCGAGTCACGCAAATTGCATGCAAAAGTGTGGAGTGTGGCCAAGTTTAAATTTATAGATTGCCACTACCACTTCCAACTATAAATATAGCTAGGGTGAGTAGGGATCATCCCAAGGGAAATTGAGTGTATTATACTTGAAAATCAAGGTCGGATTAGTAGGTCGAGTGATTAAAGATATTTCGATTAGTTAATTAAACTGCAATGTCAATTAAATGAATGTAAGGTAAAGCAATTGAAATAGAGTAAAATGTAGAAAATATAAACATCACCTTCCTAGACACTCAATGTGTAATGAATGAGGGGGATTATATGTTGCAATATTAGTGTGTGTCACTGATTGAATCAACAAACATGGATGACTAATTAAGTATACATTATTTAGACAAACTAGTGAATAACACAACATATCAAATTAAGCCATTAGTTCTTCCTTTAAGTCCACAATAAATACACATCATCAAATTAGAGAAATATACTACTTGCATTTATAAGCATGGAACATCAAACAATAAGCATGGATTATCCTCCCATCTAAGAAAGTAAGGCAATTACACTACAACTAAGCTAATAACATGAAAATTAAACTAATTAAACTAAAGAAGAGGCATAATCCATTAAGAAATGAGTATGAACCATCAAACAAACCACAAGAGTATTCCATTAAAGCACTATGCCATGACTATCACTAGATCTATAGCATCAACACACATAGACATGCATCAATATCACAAAACCTAGAGATAAACACACGAACATCTATTCTATCATACATAGACATATGAATAGAATAAAATAATCAATTGGAAGTATTAAACCACATAAATCATTGTAGAAACAAGATTCATATATAAATCAAATGTCAAGACAAGAATTACAACACAAATCCCCTCAAAATACAAAACATCAAAGTCTAGGAGGCATGCTTAGGGCTATCTCTAGCCCTAAGAGAATGGTTTAGCCACTCATTCATGTAGTCATCCAACCTTCAAGGGCATCTCCATTGTAGGAATAATCTTCTTCTCCTTGATGGAAACCCTAAATGAGTGGAAGAACTCCCAAATGGTGTGTCTCTCTCTAATCTCTTGACTCCTCTAACCTCTCTTGTGTATGGTTCCTTTCTCTAAGATTGTAAATATGTAGAATGGCTCAAAATCCTTATATAGGTAGCTCAAGTGTCACACCAAATGGTCAGACCTCGTGCACTAGGACCTCCAAATGATTGCACCACGAGCACGCCTTTTAATTGGCTGGAACTCTGCTTTTCTCACACTTGAGGAGGTTCGATCGATCACAAAGATGGTTAGATCAATCAAACTATGACGGCCCAAGTTTTGTAAACCCGGTGCATCAGTGATGACCAAAAGACGACCCGATAATGAATCTGAAATGCGGAAGCGAAAGGTGAAACAACGGTCTCTAGAGATACAATGCGTCTCTAAGACACCAATGTGACCCACAATGAGGTCATGGAACCCAAAGGAAAACAAATGCGGAAGTGTCGTTTCAAAAACGGATAAAAAAGAACCTAGGGGCAAAATGGTCATTTTGCCAAAAAAATGGATTCAAGTGCTATCGAGCATACCACTGGGAAGACAATGAAAAACTAATGATGATGGACTCAAGAATTTCATTATCCGGATTCTGGACGAAGGAGAAACGACAAAACAAAGAAAAACGAGCAATAAAGCTAAAAGGGTAAACTGGTAATTATCCAAAAATATCTGGGTGCAACCGAGCACACCGTTGGATAGACAATGAAAAATTAATCATTTTACAAAAAAAACTCACTTGATTTGGACTCCAAATGAGGGAGAAAGGTCAAAAACAAAATCGACATCGCGGCGGCCCGACGAAAGCCGTGACAGCTACAGTGCCATCAACCCACTACTGCTGCAACTAAGAGTAAAAACGGGCATCTAAACGGACTTTTTTGGAAAAAGTCAAAGAAGAAACCCCCCCTAAAATCAAGTTTTCTACCCGACATAAAGACGGAAACCAAAAAAATGAATTGTAAAATGTCCAAAATACCCTCAAGAAAATCAGGTCTAGAGGTCAAAAATCATTCCAAGCTACTGCCCAAAGAAAGGAAATGGGGCTTCGGAAGGTTTTTAAATTGCCTAAATTGAAAATGCAATCTTAAAATACACCCACAAGACCCCCAAAAATTTTGGATCGGTTGTCACGCTTTTCAAAAAAAAAGTTAATGAATAGTACCAAGTATATTTGCACTAAAGTTGGCAAAAACCTGGCACCAATGATTTTTTGAAAAAAAATAGATTTTTGATGGCCAAGATGGAAGTTTCTGGAAAAACACAAAGAAGAAACCCTCCTCAAAATTGAGTTGTCTATGTGACTCGCGTAGAAAAATGAAAAAAACGCATTTTGAAATACCCGAAATTCCCCTAGAACAGAATAGGGTAAAACTCCCTAAAAATGCTACTTAGAGTCTTTGTTTCATCAAAGATGGTTTTGTTTACCAAAGTGAGCATGCAAGCATATGTAATGTGATAAAATAAATGTGTTGCAATGGCCTATGGCCTCATGGTATGTCATATGCAAAATAGAACCTTTCAATGCATTAATCTACATATCTTCCATAGGCAACAATGAAGTTCAAAGTTAGCATACATTTCACATAAGTGTCTTTGGCGCTTGGCCTCATTACAACCACATTCTAAGAGTGTCAAAAGGTGCACTTAAGTGCACATTACATAACTTAGACAATAAGTACAAGTTTTATCAAAGTAAGCAAAAGTAGGACAAGATATGCTAACATATGCATATTCTATGTCATCAAAATATATTTCAAGAACTCTAGTGAGTCTAAGAATGCTGTGCATCCCACACTAAGGCTTCTTTACCTGCAAAACACCCATTAACTTACGGGTGAGTAAAGAAGTTTACTCGTAGGAAATGCATGGGTTTATCTTTGTACCAAGTTACAATCCAAAACCATTTAATTCATGCTATCAAGTGACAATTGAACTTTCAACATAACACAATGAGATGTAATTTTACAAAGTTAACAACTTGGAATTTAAATGCAAAATCAAACCAAAGTGGATACTTGGACGTCACGCCGGATCAAACCGACAATATGGTTACTTTAGGGTTACTAGCCCATGGGTAACCTCCCTATGTGCGCACTAGACTTGTAGAGGTACTTTCCCCCGTACTAGAACCATGCCCTAGCCATAGTCATAACAACGACATCCCCAAGTTTCCAAAATCAACATTTTGTGCACATTACATATATGTATCAACATAACATATATATATACAATGTAAAGCCATCATCATGCACAAATTAATTTTGGAAACACAATACATGCCCTAAGTTCTCAACTAAAATGGCATGAAAAATATTGAATCATCATTATGCAATTTGCCACTAATTACAATAATATCATTCAACAACAAGAACATAACCTCACAAGTATGATATAAGTTTAAAATCATAATTTAAACAATTTAATAAAACAACTAAATTCCCTAGATTTCACTTCTCATCCAAACATGCTCAATTTAATATATGTTGTAGTACATGTCATGGTTATTATATAAATCACTTCAAAACTTAATTTAAGTCATGGGAGCATATAAATAATAATTAATTAAATTAATTCATTAATCCCTCTAGATTTTAAAACAACTCTAAATGACCTCAAATTAACATAAGTTATGAATCAAGCCATGGTCATGTTATTTATCAAGTCTAAAGTGAATTACATACAAGTCATAATTAATCATTTATTTCTCATTTTAATACA